TTTTTATAAATGTCACTCTCCTCGCTTATCTCGTTTGCCTCGGTAAAACAGGCTGCTGATTTCGCGGAAGAAGGAACACTCGCCTCGTATCATTCGTTGCGCTACATTGGCTATATCGATTTGCTCATTGTTCAAACTGCACTCGACGGAGACAATGCGAGCGCGAACCGTTGCCCGACAAGTCGGCTCATAAACATTTAGAGGAGAAGTCCGGGCCGATGGCAGCAGCTGGTATAAATAATCGAAAGAGCAGCGGTAAACAAGTGGCTTTGGGTGGCACGGAGGAGCGGTAATCGCTTCGCGCGTTCAACGCGGGACATCGTCGCGCGGAGCTTTCGTTAGCCGGGATTCGGCCCCGAGCGGCATGCCACGCCGAAAAACTTTCGCCGGGAGCAGTCTCCTCGTAGTTTGAAATCCGCGCGCCAAGCGATAGCTCGCCTCGACTGGGCTCTCAGTCGTAGAAAGCCAAGACGTATAGTCGCTCGCGCGGTCGTCTATATTCCAGACCACGACGTATACGCATCGCCGGGGAGCATAAGGGACGAGCATTTGGCAGCCGCTACGGGTGCGTGGGCGGCACTCGAGCCGGAGTCTTATTACAATGCTCGGGCGGGCGCAGCTCATCAGGCTAAGTAATGCCGTGAAGGCTGTCCGCGCGATAATGCTTCGGCGCGATCGATGCGCGCGCGCTCTCGAATTTTAATCCCGGACTGCGGCGATACGAGCAAGGCGCGAAAGCAAACAATAAAGCCGCTCGGGGTTCGTTGAACCGCCGCGCGCTAATTTCCAAAGTGGTGCGCTCTCTCTCTCTCTCTCACTCTCTCTCTCTCTCTCTCTCTCTCTCTCTCTCTCTCTTCCTCGGTTTTCCGCGCGAGCGCGCTCGACAAAAGTGTGCCGAGCCGAGCATGAATGGGCCGCCAGCTTCTTGCCTCCGCGCCCTCCCGACGTCGAATTATTGTGTCTCCGGCGATACGTAATGAAGCTGCAAGCGAGAAGAGAAAGAGCCGCGCCGGCGACGAAAAAATGGGCTACGCCGGTTCTCTTGATGGATATGATGAGGCGCCCGCGGTCGTTTTGGCCGCGGCCTTTTCATCTCGGCGTTCGCCGTTGACGCGATGTCCACGCCCGCGCGACCCCTTTAATTCCGAGAGTGATCAAAGCTCCGACGCGCCCTCAAAGTTTTTTTCCTCTCTTATGTCCGATCGACTGCAAATTCTCGTCCCTCCACTCGTCGGCCGGAGGAGCAGGCATTTATTTCTATTCGCAAACGAGAGCGACGAACGGCATGCTCGGATTTATCGTCGCGTGGAGATCGACGGAGATGGATTCTCGACACGGGCGCGCTTCGCTAGCGAGTAATTCGCTATCCATTAACATTTAGAGAACGAAATCAATCTTTCGAGGGTTCCCGCGCAACGCAGCGCCGGCTGTCATTTGATCAATCGAACCGCAAAGATATTCGAAATCCCGCGGAAGTTTGGCAGCACAACGGCTCGTTCGGTCGCTGTGGGCTGGCGGAACTTAGGTATAATCCGAATAACCCCGGGTTGCCAGAGTTGCAGCAGGGAAGTGGGCGGACAGCGGTAGGCGACGGGGAAGGGGCTTTAATCAGGCAAATGGCACGCGCAAGCTGCGGATAGCCTTTGGCCAGACAGCCAGCCAGCCAGCCAGCCAGCCAGCTGATTTAAACACAACCGGTTCGCTGTCTCGCGCGGTACGGCAGACTGCGCGTCACGGTGAGGCCCGCCCGCGTGAGCTCGGCGCCGGGAACAATGGCGTCCGCGCGCGCGCGGAGTCAGCGGATGCGCACGGGCGCGAGCGCTCTTTCGCGGACGTCTCGACGGCCGGTACACTCGATTGTCCCCGGGAAATTGCTTTCGCGCTCTCTCTCTCTCTCTCTCTCTCTCTTGCGCGGGCCTGTCTTTCAGGGAAACGAGGCTAAAGCGAGAGAGGCCGCCTCTCTGCGAGCTTGCATGTTTCATAAGCGTTCGCTTTTACGGGTGTCGCGGCGGGCGGGCGAGGGATCGAGCATTTTCCGGCCGAGCAGCGGCGTCTGATGCGCGCGCCAGCTCCCCCGCGCATATTGAAACGCCCCGCCGTCGTCCCGTCGGCCCTCCCGCGTAATTGATTCCGCCGCGCGAGAGCAAGCGGCCACGGAGGAGTTGTCGGGAACAAGTGCGCAAGGAGCAGCCGGCGCTTTGATTTCCGCGCGGCTGCAGCGAGTCGCCAAACGGAATTGATAATGCAGGCGGCCGGGAACACCTTCGCTAGTCGATCTCGCGAGCGCGAGCCAGTCGAAACGCGAAGTCGCCGCTGTGGCGAACTTTGCGCGAGTGCATTCCGCCTCGCGACGGCAGTCAAGCGTCGAGCGAGAGTCTCGGAGGTTTTCTTACGTGCGCAGGCGACGAGGAAGCCAAAAGTTGGAGCTCGATGCGCGAAGTTAGCTTGCGAGCTCGCTGACAGCCGGCAAGGCGGGAGGAGCGGTGGAGGTCATGGAAAAGTTCATTCTCCCAGCGGAAAGCCCAGGACAAAGACGTTTAACCTTTTGCTTCCCGGAGCGTCGGCTCGATGCTGCAATTACCCGTGGCCCTGATGATCCGTCGGACGACCGAGCGAAAGCAAGTCGGAGCCGGTTGCGTCGCTTCTTTCCGTCGGGCGCTCCTTTCTGCACGGCGGGATAGGCCTCGCTCTCGGCGACGATCGCCAAAGAGCCAGGCCTCTCCCGTTCATCTGGAGCGTAAAATCGTTTGATTCCGCGGCGGCGGCGGCAGCGAGACAGTTGTCGCTCGCTGGCGCTGCTCAAATTCGCAATTAAGATCGACGAGTTCGTCGGCGTCTTCGCTCGAGTGCGGTTCGCCCACTCGACGCGAGTGCAGCCGCGCTGCGGGCTGCGCGCAGTCAAGGGGGAATTGTACCCCGGATGCCAGCGCGAGCTACTTGAAAACTGCCGAGCCCCGAGCCTCGTCGAAAAATCCACTATTTCCCCAGGATTTTCCTGCAGCCGCGCGAAATTACCGCTGCGCCCGCGCTCCCGCCTCGGCTCGCTCGCCTAGCTCGCCTTTTATTACTCGACCTATAATTCATCGAAGCACGCCAGAAATTTGTCTCTCCTTTCTCTCGTTTGTCAGGTTTCCAGTGCCAACAATTTTATCGGACGTTCCAGCGCCGTTCGACATTCTGCGCGACCGCGCGCGCGTTCGGCTGAAACGCAAGCTCAATTCGCGAAAACAGTCAATATTTCAACACGCGGCTCGGCAATGAAGATACGCTTTATCAATTTTATAGGGAAAATCGTGACGCTGAAGTTTGGGCCGGGTCTGATAAACGTCAATTTTGATCCGTCAATATGACCGGCCAGCTTGGTGCTCGTATTTATTCGACTGTTGTTTACCCCGTTCGCCAATGTAACATTAGCTGCTGCTCCCTCTGCGCCGACTGCAAGCAGCCCTTGCTTCGACAAACATTTTTTCGCGACCTCGTTAACATTTGCCCGCGGCGCACGTATGATCTAATTAACCGGCAAACAGTGCGAAGCGCGTGATTGCGCTCTGAATCGTCCGCAACTGAAATTTTGTTCTCTCTCTCCATTTTTCTCTTGCCTTTTTTCCTCGTTGCCAATTGCCGCTTTCGCCCACATGCGCAATCACCAACTTCCAACCAACGCATATTCAAGACATCTGATCCGAAAAAATATCGCGTTGGACTTTTGTTTTGCGCAGCTGGAAAAGGGACTGCAAATTGCATTGCGACGGAGTTCGTTAACGAGAGACGCGAGAGTGGGCGAGAGAAAAAGGAAATCCGTCATGTAGTCTGGAGTACCGAAAGGTAGATCGTCTTAATTTTCGGCGATCTGCAAAAGTGCGCTTGGGAGGTTCATTCGGAAGTAAACAGACGACGGCTTTCCCGGACGATTTGCCGATTTGTCGCGCGAAGTCGCCCGATGCCGAGGCGAGATAATTCCGACGGCGCGGCAACCTTGCCGATAATGTCGTCACGAGTATAAACAACTTGGAATCGCTGGGAGTGTTCCGTCGAAGGCAAGCTGGCGGCAAGTGCCAGCAGGGAGCTCATCCTTAAAAAACTTGGCCTCGAGAGGCAGTAAAGCGGGGAAAAGCGATGAGCACGCGGGATTGTTTCGTTAGCTTTCGCTTTTTCCGAACTTCTTTTTACGCGGAGTAGTCACCGTAGTCTATCTCTCTCTCTCGCTCTCTCTCTCTCTCGCGCGCGCGCGCGCGCGCGCAAGCTCGCAACTTGTCTTTTATGTGGCGCGATTCCAGAGCGGACTTTTTATCGCTCCATTCTGGTGCTGCCACTTTTACAACCCAGACTGGCTTGCCGAACTTCCGTAATTAAACCGAAAAATGCACGCCACGCGAGATTCTTTGGTGCGTGCGAGCTGCTCAATAAACCATACGCTCCAGCTGTTAAAAAAGTACATCCGCGGTGAAAGGATTTTTATACCTCTTTATATGCACGCTCGACACACCGTCTCCCAGCTGCCGTACATCGATATTTGGTAACGTGCATTTTATTTTATTTTATTTTTCTTTCGCCTTCTGCCTACTTGCAGTCCGACGACTGAAATCAAACACCGACTGCCAACTTTCGATGAAAAAATAAAGTTTGCTCGGCGCGAGCGGAATAAAACAAAAAACAAAAGCAGCGCCGAGTAAATAATTTGGTTTGAAGCACGATGAGAGCGCGCGGAGCGCTCGCGGAGGAAAGCCCTCGAAGCGTCGCAAACAAATCACGAGACTCGATGCAGACCGCGGGGCTGGAAAAAACGAAAGTCGCGCCGAGGCTCGACGCTGAAAAAGAGCTGAGAAAACACGGCTAGGGAAGGAGCAAACAACGGCCGGGCTCGGCGTGAAATTAGCGAATACGGGCACCGGTCGGCGATATCGCAGAGCGAGTGCGTGGCAGCTTGCCAGACTGACTGGCTCGCTGGGCTGACTGACCGATCGAGGCTGACCCCGTCCGTGTGTGTGTTGTGTTCGCAGGAGAAAGCTGCATCGACGTAACGAGCTGGCAGGATGGCGGCGGCGGCCGACGCTCAGCCACTCAGGCTCGCCCTGCTCATCGCCACCCTCCTCTCCTTCGTTCATGGTAAGTCTAATCGAGCCCCCTCCCATCTCGCGTGGAGCAGAAAGAGGACGCGGAAAAAAGCCTAACCCACTGGCGCTCAGCTGATGGCGTTTATACGACTTTGAAAGCCAGCTCGATGTGTTTGCCTTCTTTTTATACGCCGGCCAGCTCCTAAGTGCTTTCTCCAGCCACTTGCCAGTCAGGAGCGGCCCTGGCAAACGTATTCCCCCGCCGTCTTTCCGCGATTCCTCCTTGCCTCCGCTTTTCCTTCCATTTCTTTTGAAATACACGGCCGATCGAGGCCGGATAATTGGAGCGGCTCGTTTGCTCCTTTTATGCGCTGTTTAATTTCGTTTTACGAGATCCTCTCGATTGTCTCTGCAGCTCTCTCGCCGGCTACAACCTTTTTTCCTTCTCTCGCCCGCTGCCCGAGCCAGAGGCACAGCCCCCATGCTTTTACGGCTTGCCTTCGAGCGTCATTTTTATGATTTTCTTTTTAATTAGTCGACGCGCTGCCGATCAGTTTTCTTTTCCTCCCTCCTTCCTCTTTTCGCGCAAGCGGAGCTGCGTCGGCTGATTGCAAGTAAGCGCGGCACTCCGCAAAATAAGCTGTTTTCGGGGCCAGGCCCGGGAGGGGGTATCCTCCGAACTGCAGGCAGTCGGCGGTCCCGGTCAATTCATCAGGAAAGGGCTCGAGGCACGCTCGACAAATACGCTTCCTCGGCGTCTGGGGAACAAGCGCCCCGAGAATGGCTCCCTCCATCGACGTAAAAAGCGCTGACGCTCGCGCCAGAGAATCAAGGAGACAGCGACGCCACTGGCGCGCGCGCGCGCCCTCCACTCGACTCGTCGACAACCTTATCCCTGCCGCCGCGGCGCGACGCAGACGGCAAATCTCATCTGGAAAGCGCGCGGCGCGCTCGCGATTATTGGTGGCACGATTTTCATTTTCGCGTGCCTTTGTGCCGCCACCAACGCAACCTCCATTCAGCTCCACATTTTTCCTCTGCCGCCTTTCCTTCTTCCTTTCTTTCATTTTTTTCTTTTTTTTTTTTTTTGTTTTTTTCCCCCCCGCACGCGAGCATACTTTGTGATAAACGCGCGCAATTTAAGGACGCACGACCGCCCGAGAGTGAAATGGATTTTCGAGCCGGATGAATTACGAGGAACATTTTTGCAGATGCAACTCCGCTTTTTGTCCCATTATATACCGGAGGCGCAAGACCTTTCGCTGCGAGGGGTTATTTTAGTTTCGTGCGCGAATATTTGCATGTTCGAAAAAAAAAAACATCGCTCCGTCGCTGCTTTGTGAAAAACATTTGCTTTCGACGAACGTCCTGCTCCTTTTTTGTTATGGCTGATTCGGTGTTTCACGGCGGATAATGGCACGGATCGAACCAAAGCTTCTCTTGACGTAACACAAGCCATTCATCGAAAAATATTGCGGATCCGTTTTGCAAATAACCTTCCAAAGCCAAATAAGAATTGAAAAAAACAATAAAAAAGAGATATAAATAAATAAACAAAAGCGATGAAATATGCAAGGAAGGAAGAAACGAAAGGCAGGCATCAAAGAGAGTGAGCCGAGGGGCAATTCAAGAAAAGCCCACGGCGCGAATACAATGAATCCGTAAAGAGAGCATTCCGTTAAATTTAAGCGGCGGTCAAGCCGAGCGGCGATCGCAGCCTCTTAGCGAGATTGCGCTGCCAGCCGCGGAGCGAATGAAAAAGAAAGCAAGCGCGCGAGCGACCACGAGGAAGAAGCGAGAGCAGCGAAAGGTCCATCTGATTCGAATACATCCGGTGCGCGCGCGAGAGCGTGGCTTCTTAAAGACGCTCGCTGGCCGGGCGTCTCTCGGCACTTGTTGCTCGCGCGTAGCGCGTTTTCTCTCTCTCTCTCTCTCTCTTGCCGGCAGAGGGGAAGAAAAAGACGAGGAAAAGAGCTCGCCAGCAGGGAATCGAATTGATTCCCCTTTTACGGCCACTCGGCCTTTATTTATTTATCGTCGTCCGACCGAATGGCCGAGGTAACGCTACGAGGATCAAAGCGCACCTGATTTTCTTTTTCCGTCCCGTTGGGCGCTTAAACCTCCTCCCCCGTACCCCCCGTTTCTAACTGATCGCCCCTGAATGAATGTACCTCTTTATGAAACGCAATTCGAACGAGCGCGCACTCGCGTTTCTCTACAACTCGGCCCTTGATTACTCGTCAATGAAAACTTTAATTACTATGTAATAATGGCGATGGGCTCTCGATCGAACGCGACCGTCGGCTCGGCGCATTTTTTATATTTCATCTGGAATTCCGCTTGGAATAAATGGTAGGCCATTTCACCGCGGTACTTTGAATTCCGTTATAAAACACCTAGAACGAAGTAGCCTGCTTAACCAGCTTAATTACTGACTTAACGAATAGGCGTCTACAAGGCCAGAAGGAGTGCGCGTACGGCTGCGCGAATAATACCGAAAATTGCAATGAAGGTGTCGAATCCGAGTAGCGGGGCTGGGGCGCAAGACTCACTGCGCGGGGGCAGGGCTGGTTGATTAACCGGCACCTCGTAACAGCTGCAAACAAATGCCTTACGCAACGTTATTACGCTTCGCTCGCTCGTTAGTCGCGTTGCCTGTCAATTAAAGTGCCGGTGCGCAAGACAGGCGCAAATCCCTGCCACATTGTGGCAGTTCAGCGATGTCGGAAAAAGGCCCGAAAAAAGTAATGTTTTGGCCATTAGTCGACAGGGGGAGAGAGGGAGAGAGAGAGAGAGAGCGAGAACGAGCGCATGCGCGCAGGTGGAGCAGCAGTACACTACTTTATTGATTTCGAGATTATCGCGCTGCCGAGTGTGCATTGTGTTGCAGCCTCCCGGCAGCCGCGGCGCCAGGGGATAACGATCGAGTAATTATGCGAGCGCGCCACCGCATTTTCCCGTTTCCTTCGTCAGCGATTTTTTTTTTCTGCAATTACACTCGCTCCGGTCGGTGGCTACCCCCTCCACTGGTATTTTAATTTTTTCTTATTTTTTCGACGCTTAATCAACGCGACACATTCCGAGAAACTAAGATCGCGCGACGGGAAGTGGCTGGGGTCTCAGTTGCCGATGAGATTTCGCGCGGTAACAAACGGAATTAGCGCGCTCGAGTTTCACCGGCTCCTCTTTTATTTGTATTCCATCGATTTCGCCGAGGCTGCCTGCTCCGGCTTCTTCGAGCGCGCCTTTAAATAATTCAATCGCTTTAAGCTGGCCCGCCTGTCTGCCAGCCTGCCCGCTTGCCTCGTCTCCGCCCTCGACTCTTTAACCTCGTAACTCGAATCTCCGGTATTTCTGATCCGATTCTTCATTTTATATTCATTCGTTATTTTCCGCTCCACGCGCTCACCCCGTCGCTTTAGTCACGGATTCCGTCCTTCCTTCGCCGCCCTATCTCCACTGAACAACCACTTGTCACGCTTTGATCCTACAAAGTGTATCGCTATTTCGATTTCACACTCTCGTTGCCGTCTGATCGCAGCTCGTCTGTATCACTTGCTTGGAATCCAAAGCCTCTTGACTGACTCGAACCGGCCTATTTTCGGTGTTCATCCTGCTGAACAAAGGTCGCGCTGAGAAGTGAAAAGCTTCGCGCGAAAAGGACGCAGTGACAATTTGGCAAAGCCAATCAAGAGCGCAGCTCAAAGTATATTCAGCTGGTGGGAATTAGCTGCGCAGCGATATCAGCATTAAATGTGTAGCGCCGACGAGGGAGCACGAAGCCGAAGCGCAGACCGATTTATTTTCAATGGGTGGCGAAGAAGAGGGGGGGGGGGGGGGGTAGCGAGGCGTTTCATCCATATTTTATAAAGCGCGCTCCGCGTTATTGTTTGATCGCGCGCAATTTGAATATTTCTTTATTAAAGTATTCAAATGGCGACGAGGCTTTGGCGATATAAGCGCGGCGCCTGTCAATTTGCAATAATAAACAGCTGCGAGCGCGTACTTGACCGGCGCTCTCACGGTATTCATTATTCCGTTATTCGAGTGCGCCGCAGGTCGCTTGCGGCTTCGCGCAATGCCGAACGACTGCGTCTGGAATTCCAGTTTCCGAGGCGAGCCTTGGCAATCGCTGGGGCGGCTCGGCTCGGCTGGACGATAATGGTGGAGCTGAATTCGAAGGGCCGCTCGCGGAGCCGGAAACTTGCGAGTAAACTTACCGAGATACGTGACCTTTGCGAACGCAGACGCGCTAGGCGTGCTCGTTTATCTTGCGTAATTAACAGCGCTTTTATTGCTCTTGCGGGTCCGGCACAGACTTCAACATTTCCGTAATCTGGCGTCCGGTTATGAAGGCATTATTTCGCGCGTTCGGCAGCGAGTCAAGATTTTTCAATTTGCAAAATCTTGAAGCACGGCAACGAGCGACTCGGAGCGCCAAGATTTTTTCCGGAAATCTGTTGAAAAATTACTTGGCCAAGTGGGAAAAGCGGCTGCCGACGTTGAAGGATTACTTGGTCCCTGGAAATAAATGCATCTAGCGCGCAGTTTAACGACGATCGAGAAGCCATCGCGACGGCCAAAATCGCAGATTTCATTCAATTTTTAATTTACATCGAGCGATGGCAGCTAAACAAAGCGGATTCTCCACCCGAGGGAAAGGATAAAACGGAAAAAAAGAAAAAACAACGCGCAGCGATAAAGGCGCAGGTGACATCGAGCGAGAAAGGAAATTCTTGCTGTGAATTTTCAAACTACTCTCGCCACCGCGATCGAGGTTCAACCCTACGCGCGCGGTGACGGTGGCGTGCCTTTTTTTCCCCGGCGCAGCTGCATACGACCCCGGGCACGGGGGGAGGCCAGCGGAGAAGGAAAAAGTCGCGGAATTCAAGTGCCTCTGCCGAGGCTTAACGAAAGGCCAATGGCCTCGACGACGATAAATCGCGCGCGCTCGGGCCTTGAAGCATTTATAACGTTATATTTTTTTTTTTTTTTTTTTTTTTTTTTTAATTTTATTCCGAAGCCAAGCGCTCGCTCGCTCGCGTGGCTTTA